TATATATACAACATAGCATTGTCCTTTTAAAGTTCGTGCACCCATGTCTATAATAAACATTTATTTTACCAGTAAATAAGTAGTAGTTAATTCTTCATGCCAATGGCAAACATTTACTACTTTAGTACATTTTCAAAAAAACCAGAGAACAGTGAAATTACATGGAAACATCTCGAACCGAACATCAAAGGTTATAACCCGCGGTACCGTTGCTCTTATCATAATCAACTGATAAACAATTTACAACTGTAATTACAATTGCTTTGCGCATGCTCGCTATCGTGTTCTCATTATGATCGACGTCGCCGTATCATACCATGATTATACCATTAAACAGTTTAATAAATTACACCACCTAAATGTTATAAAGAAACAATAAATGGGGACTAGGTCTAGTACATCGCGACGATTGTTTAATATTTTTGAAAATATGCTCGATGGCTAACGGTCTATATTCTAAAATACCAATCAAACAGTATATCTAGAGTATCAATATTTTAACTATCAACAGTTTGACGTGGATTCGGGCATAGATACAAGGACGGTGAACGTAACGTGTCGCCTGTCACTCATGATCAGGTATAGCCTAGCCATATATATTGCGCATGCCTATTAATGTTGGGAGGCTCCGGGCCATAAGCCGCTTTTCCACTATTGGAATTTATTCGCGCGAATTGAAAGCTTCGGCTCATGCGCATGCGCATTCACATTTCTATTGGAGTTTTTGCGAAGCGAAAAAATGCGCAACCAATCAGAGCTCAGGAAGCGACCCGACGCTTTGATGCTTTGCGAATAAATTCGCCTAGTGGAAAAGAGGCTTTACAGGCGACCTAGCATGGACGTTTGTTGCGAACGATTTTTCCGTTTGGCCTAGAGTACTAGAGTTGCGCGCCTCTCTGTGGTTATCGTAATACAGGCGACAGATATAACTCGCTAGACTGTTAATCATGTATCCAAAATATTATTTAAAAAAATAAAATTATATTAGGCCCTTATGCTTGTGTTCACTGTTAAACATACTTGTGACAGTACAGTATATGTGGGATGGTGTTTTTATGCAGGGAGGTGGTAGTTTATGTTGCTGTAGTATTGTACTCCTCTTCTGTATGCTTTTTGATTGTTATTTATTGCATCTATGATGTAACAATTAACAGGAAAAAGTAATAAATCAGTTTCTCGGAAATTTATCTTTTTATATTTTAAAATGCAATATCTTTGATATACATAATGCTCATAACTGTGTAGTTTATTTGTATATGAGTCCAAATTAGTAAATCATTCTCTTAATTTTGAAACCTTTAATATGAAGGCCGGACGTAAAACTTGAGGGCGGGTTTTCAGGGATCTTCAGATGTGGAAAAACTTCGACCTTTGAAGGTGGATATTGTTATTTATTGAATTTATGATGTAACAATTAACAGGAAAAAGTAATAAATCAGTTTCTCGGAAATTTATCTTTTTATATTTTAAAATGCAATATCTTTGATATACATAATGCTCATAACTGTGTAGTTTATTTGTATATGAGTCCAAATTAGTAAATCATTCTCTTAATTTTGAAACCTTTAATATGAAGTCCAGACGTAAAACTTGAGGGCGGGTTTTCAGGAATCTTCAGATGTGGAAAAACTTCGACCTTTGAAGGTGGATTTCGTGTTCCTACGATTGCTTATTGGCCAGGGCACATCCCAACGGGTGTCTCAATGCAACTTGTTAGTCATCTTGACATCTGGCCGACACTTAGACGTTTAAGTGGTTCCTCTCCAGATGAATTTGACGTCACCCTCGATGGATTTGACATTTCGGAAGTACTTTTTGGCAACGGAAACGTAGGTATTTTTTATAAATGCGAGTGATGGTGTGTCGTCAGTAGGGATTGTGTGGGTATATGAGTTAAGCCTAACATATTATTTATTATACTCGCAGCGGCCTTTCGAGAGGCCGTGAAGCCCAGCCGACAAAATGCTGCAAGTATTGCCATATGTAACAGAATATTCTAACGCATAATATAATATTACTACTCCCACGTCTTTAACTATAATTTTAGAAAGACCTCTGTAAATGAAAGTCAAATAACCTTTTAAATAAAGAACATGAGCCAATAATAATTTTGTTATTGTAAAATTATTGTTTTTTACGATATTTTAATGGCCATAATTAATAGGAACTCAAAATATGCCAATAATGGAAAGACATGTAAAAGAATGGTGCTACGATATTCTGGACGGTAAATCGTCACAAGCATTTTGTCCTTACTCAAATGATAGACCTACCTATTTTAAGTATGACATGATACCATTTTCCCCAACGTCTATTACCATACGCAATACCGTACGGTAACTCATTAAACGAGTGCAGAATTTCAATGAACCCTTTCCGGCATTTAAAACAAACTCAACAACTGACCAATCACAGCATGGCCAGGAAAACGCGTTTGTCCCCACAACACAAAACGCATGTGTAGCTCCACAAACGTATGATTTTATGTACGTTGACGCTGTCGCTTTATGGACAGCAATCCAAATGGGAGGCTAACCGGAAAAGTCCATTTGGTTAGTATCGGAGCAATATTGTTCTACAGTGTTTACATTTTAACCTTTTCTCCACAGACTACAAGATCCTCAATGTTGTTCTACGATATTACACCTGACCCGGACATAGGCCCGTTTGCCGTTCGCAGTATTCGATACAAAGCTCACTTCTACGCAGAATGCACCTTCAGGTGTGATCCGGACGCTATTGATGAAATGTGCAGAGCAGAATTTCCAATAACGCGTCTTCAATCTCCACTTCTTTTTGACATTCTTAAAGACCCAGAAGAACGTGTCGATTTAGGTAAACTAAATGCGTACAAGAGAGTAGTTGAAAACTTGACTATGCTAATGGACACAGAATCTAAAAAGATAATCTTTGCCGAAAGTGTTCTCAAAGAAACAGATTCGTCACATGCGTTGTGTTGTAAAGAGGATTGTGAGCCGTTTCCCTATTGCTGTAATTGTGAATCAACGTACTCGGATAATCTCTTCCCTGTTAATAATTATAATTTGCGAGAACTTCGCATTAAAACGCCTAACTGCAAAACTTTCACATAACACATTTTGATAGTTATTCATTTACTTATTACAATATCCATCAATAACGGTCGAACTTAAAATTTACGCTTTTTTAACCTTCACATGTAAAGCTAGGAATCCATTTGTCCGGTTGAGATTACGTCACCGTTTGCGGTGCGGTCCGTTTTGATGATCGATATAACAGTTTTAAACGATAGTGATTCCATTAATGCGGTTACGGTTGCGTTGCGTCTCCGTAACCGCATGCATTTATTTTAATCGCTCCATGGAGCGATTCATCCGTTTTGAATTCAGCCCACTGTGTGGTAATATCCACATGCACGTGCTCCGTATAAATAGAATCACTTAAAATGCACTGTTAAAGCAAACGCAACTGGAGCCGGATTTGCTTTGAAACCTACATTTTCGTGACACCGGAACCGCAACCGCAACGGGACAAAAACATGATAACAGGGTGCGCCCATCGCAATCATCTTTTGACAGCGTGAGTCACTTTTGATGTTGGTGTGTTGTGCATTGCGACCAAAAAGTTGCCATAGGCGCCTCTAGAGTAGGAGGAGTTGCCAATGTAGTTGCAATGTCCCGATCACAGCAAAACGCATAGATAATTTTGGTGGGGGGGGGGGAGAATGAACATTTATTTAAGCTAGTATACAACTGACGTATTTCATCTATGACTCATTCTGACTATGAGCCTTCTTCTACAAGTCATACGGAAGTCGGTTGAATAATAGAGTGCAAACACGACTAATCCTGTACTATACGGCGATAGATTATGAAAAACACTGGAACTTACATCTATAAAGTATGCATGTGTAGTATGTATAATTTTTAATGTGTCTAGTGATATGCATACAAGGCATTGACAAGTTGTAATTAAGAATGGGAAGAGTAATTGTAAAATGCTTCACGTACACTTACTCAAGGGTGTATCCAGGATTTTTCTGGGTAGGTCCTGATCATAATTTTTTGGATCTTTTCAGTGGGAGACAGAAAAATCGATTACAGCGCCACCAGCGGATAGCAGGCTCAGTTTCAGAATTGCTGGAATTGAGATAGATTACGTCACGCAATTGCCAAGGTCTTTGGACTCTTTGCTGGTACCTCATCAATGCTTTTTCATTTATGTCATTGTGAAAAGGCCCTAGAAAAAAAACACATATACATTTTTTCTCCCCGACGAATTGTGGTTTTTCTCCCCGATGGGAAGGGGCAGCTCTCCTTGACGGGGTCTTGATCTCGTTAGAAGTACAGTTGTGCAATAATGATGTATAAGAAATAGGGCCTATGACAATTATTTATCTCAGGTAAAATCATTGATGCAGTGGGATATACTTATTTGTATATACATAATCAAATTTGAGAATTAAAAAGTCAAATTTTGATCCTACAAAGCATATCTTAAATGCATGTGGCGGAAACTTATTTTTTTGTATACTCGTCTTCAGTGAATTTTTGTGTCTACTGCCATCTATAAACTATAATACCATAGTTTCATTCAATGGGGCCCCGACAGTTTTAAACAGTAAAAGCTAGGTTCTGATGTTTGACATTGTTTCTGATTTTGTGATCAATCTGATTTGCATTGTATATACGTTATGAAAACATGTTTTGTTTCTCACTAAAATGTTCTCTTTATTTACACCAAGTTCCGAAATTTGGCCTATGTAATCAATGTTGGTTAAATTTTGTCATAAAATTGTCCGAAATGTTTCATCAGTCATGGACAGTGGCATATCTAGAAGTTACGAAGTACAAAAACTAATCTCATTAGAGAGGGCGCACTTTATTGACTGTATAAAAGCTGTCTCTTATACACATCTAGATGTGTATAAGAGACAGGTTGAGGGGCGGTAATTCGATAAATAAGTTGATTTTTAACTACTTTACTGTGATTTTGGAGCGACTTATGGAGGCGGGGGGGGGGGGCACGAATATTTTTTGGAGGGTCGAGTGCCCTCCCGCTCCCACGCGCATTCCTAGATACACCACTGGTCATGGACCATTCTATGTTCACTGTTAACTCAGTTCATAAATGACATACCATAATCTCTGAGCGCGAACACCCCCTCGGACCCCCACCCTCCTTGGGACCTTCACCCTCTGGACTCCTATGCGTCCCCTTTCCCCCTGCGTCTGTTTGTCCGCTCCGCTCGAAAACTAATGCTCATTTCGCTTACTTATTAGGGGATCCCAATAAGAGTAAGCGCCAGGGCTCAAGAAGACACTGTCAAGGCCTGTTTACAATATGTTGACGAAAACGATCTTCTCTCTACAGAAAATTCATTTTTTTAAAGATGTTAGATAATCATTAGAAATAATAACATCGTTCATATTTTTTATTTTCAAAAAGTAAAGTATTTATTGTTGATCGTTATCGTCATATATATTATCAACATGCCTTCACGCTATTACTTCGACTCATACCCCGCAGATAGGCCTTTCCCCCTCCCCCTCCCAAGAACGGTCGGCTACCACGTTGCACTGAACATTCCAAATAACACTCATTTTCCATCCAAGCCTGGCAATCTAAGCCCCGCTAATTTCACTGCTCCAAAACTACGTGTACGACGATAATGCGACATCGGCAAGTCCATGATTATTCTCAATAATACAGTAGTACGGGCTCAGAGCACATACTCAACGCCATCGTAATAGGTTTCAATATTTCGACAATAATTCCATCATCAACAACAAATACAGTATACAAACGAGTAGATCCTCACCCCTAATACCCAGAGTGCAGATCATACTGTATATATGTACTATACTGTGCCCAAACCAAGATTTTACAGTTACTTTTAATCATGTCACGTGTTCTTTAATAAGTCAATGCAGCAGTAAACACATGCTACCGGCGGGAGCTTATTAGCATTATGCGTTGCTGTATTATGTAAGTGATGTATAATTATTGTATAGTGATGGAGGCTTAATGTTTTTGTTAAAGCCCCATTCCCGGCAAAATTTCAGTTTTTAAGAAAAATCTAATTTTTGTATAATGTTATAAAGATTTATAAATATAATACGGAATTGCTAGTTTAACTGAATTTAGACATTCATAAGAATGAAAAAAATGTAAAATAAGACTGAAATTTGATTTTTTGTGTTCCACACAAAAAAAAAAATGCGGATGAATTTTTCATGTTTGATTTTGCGGATGAATTTTTCATTTTGATTTTGCGATAGGTCGTGAGAAGAAATATCGTAGGCGCCGAAAACATTAGCCTATCCAGCGCTGCTAGGCTAGGCCTAGCCTTACCTCGATTTAAGTTCTGTTATTACACATAAAAACGGCCGACATGATATTTTCCGTTGCTAGTATTGACACTTGTGAAATATAATATTTCATAGGAATTATTTCAAATTCGTTAAAAAAACTGATTCTGACTGAGATTTTGACACTTAAACAAACATATGTCAGCCTTAATCGAACGACCGCATTGTGCGAGATACGAAGTACAAAAACTAATCTCATTAGAGAGGGCGCACTTTATTGACTGTATAAAAGTATACGGTACATAAAAGCGAGAGTATTCCAGTGGATGCGATCTACAACCTCTGAATTTGCCTAGTAACGATGAATTCGTCCAGAAAATGGTAATATTTTATGAGAAATAGTCTGTATTTCTCTTTTTTTTTTTAATTCTTTTGCGTAAAACTAAAATTCATGCCAATATTTTTCCATGATTTGCAATAATTGGAGTAATGCAAATGAATATTTTCTAAAAAAAGTCAGTTTTTAGTGAAATTTTGCCGGGAATGGGGCTTTAATAGTTCTGTTTTTATGACCATCAAATAAAAAAATAATAATAAAAGTCATCACGTTTTTTCAGTTTTATAAATGTTATATTTTTGCTGAGACTGATTGCCTGTCTTTTGTAAATCTGGAAAAAAACATTTAAATTTAGCATTTATTTGTTTATTTAATAATAAACGGTGATAGCCACTATGTGTGCACAAAACCGTGAATATCTTGGTACCCGGTTAGGGATAGGGGTAGTTCGAGGTAAATCAAACCAAGGATAAGTCCGAAGATTGTTTCCAGTGGGTTTCTTCTGGTGATGAATTGGGCAGTACACCGGGAGACAATCCCCTAATCTTTCCTGAAGAGTGTACTGCGTTCTTTAACGTGTATATGGGCCATATTGCACACGGGACCAACGGCTTAAACGTCTCATCCGAAAGACAGTGCGCTATCGTAACTTGTATTTCAGCTGAAACACAAGGAGAGGCAGCGATTGGAATTGAACCGGGAACCTAGAAATCTCCACGGTTCAGCGCACACACAGTGGCTACCACCAGTTTAGCCGACTGAACTAATCTGTTTAATAAAGGTTTCAATAGCAGACCGTCTTTCGGATGAAAATTTGATTGTCAATTTACGCGTCAAAACGCAGCAGGCCTTCTTACACTTTTCAGAAGTAGGGGTTCCTGTTAAAACTTCTCAATTCACCACCAGATAGCCCCCAACAGAAAATATTCTAAATCGTGGATTTATACTTGGTGTGTTTTACAGCCGAATACATCTAAGCTAATGGGGCCCAGACGAAAAACGCTCACTTTCAGATTTTCTATTACGAGGTTTGCAAAATGTATTGCCAAATAAATGGTCCACTTAAAAAAATACCGAAATTAAATTTCTTTAGATAAGCTAAAATCACAATGACAATCATTTGCAAGTCCTGTAAGTTTTCCTTAACCTTTATATAATATATATAGGTATGCATATAGGCCTATAATAATATATACATATATATAATATATATATGTTCTTTTTTTGTACAATAGTACAAGATGTTGAGTTACAGTTCATTTCTGTGTATTTCGTTTTCTGAATAAAGTTAAGGCGTATTTTTGTTATTGTAGTAGGCCTAATTCTAAAATCTTTGTCATATAAATACAGTAAGCACCTAGAGTATATACTCTTTGCTACTATTAGATGTCTGCGCCAAATAAAATGGTTAAAAATAAGTCTGTATTGTGTCGATACTTGTCATGTTCCTTATTTCTGTCCAGAAATGTCTCACATGTTTACAACTTATATAATACTTATGTTTTCCGTATCAATAACATGACAATTATTACAATTCATTGACTCCCTTAGTCTCCATTTATACAATCATTCGTTGGTTGGAATTTTCCTATAAAGTAATTTAAAGTGGAATTAGCTATTTTTTAAGTCTGGTAATTTTTCTTTTCCAAGAAAAAATACAACAATTCATCCAATTCCTCTCAACATCGCAGAAAATGTTGTAACACACATTACCAACTCATTTGTATATTCAGTATTGTATATAATATTTTATTTTTCACAATTATTTCTTTTTAATTGTGAGAGCAGATTGTTAGACAGCCTGAAAATATTAAAAACATTTTAAAATCTGCATCTTATTTCTCCAATTCATCCGCCAAACAAGGCCTAGCATAGGCTTCAAGTGGCAAGCCCATCAGTCAGGCTTACACGTCTTCCGGGTTGCTTCCAGTCCGCCGGCCAAAATTTGACACAATCCCCATGGTCGATCCGCTCGAATCTGTCCACGGTCAATATGCTCAAGTCAGCCTGGTCTAGTCAAACGACTCGGTCGAACGATCCCTTCGAGTTGACTCTGTCAGTTACAACCGAAAACTATATAATAAATAACGTTATAAAATCTACACCTTACTTCTCATGTGCGCCAAAGTTGGTAGGACCGGGACCGAGCTACATATGTAATATTGACAATGTGTGAAAGTTTTAAGTTAATCGGTCCAGTAGTTTTTGGGTTGTGCTCCCGGAAGGACAAACACGCCACAGACAGACAGCCCCCACAGCGATGGACAGACAGGCAGAGCTCATTGCAATACCCTCTTCCCCATTTCTTAGGGGCGAGAGGGTAACAAGATAATCTGAGATTGCGAACCCTCGCCCTGTTGAGCCATACCAAAGATATTTAGCCATACTAAAAAATAACGTCCGGTGGTAGATCCGCTCGAGTTGGCTCAGCCAGGCCAAACGAGGCGCACATCACAGGCCTTGCCTGACAAGCCCATCAATCGGGCGAATGACCATTTTTAGTCCGTCGGCCAGATTTTTACACACCCCCTACTTTGGCATGTGGTCGATCCCCTCGAGTCGCACCCTCAGACGCGCGCTATTGCAATCCTTCACCTCTCCTTCGGAGATGCGAGGGTGATTATAAATATTTCCTATCTAAATTTAATATCGGAAAACTAAAGTACTGTACAATACATGACGCTTTGGATCATGTATTCATAATTCATGTAAATTTGGCCAAACGAATTCATTATTGTAAGTATTTCTATTTTGAGTTAATGAAATTCTGAGTTTAATAAGCTGGTAGTAAATTGACAGCTAAAGTGCTTTAAAAAAAGATCTTCATAGTTTGGTTTTCTATGTAAGAATATGATTTGTGATATATTTAGTTCGTGATTACATACAAAATAAAATATATTTTAAAAAGTGTATAGAAAATATGAATAGTAGAGTGACGCGTATAATTTGCAATCTGGTGCGGCTAAAACCTTGAAGGTATAAAGGTAATTCTACGATTGGAGACTTTGATGATCTATTTGGTATAATTTTTCACACCGCTAGGTCTTGAATCATGAACGTTTATTGAGGACCATTTTTACATTTTTTTTTTTTACATAAGCGTAATTATAACATAGATTGTAAACAGGTTTAAAACGTTAACTACTTATATTAGTTTGATGGTGTTGACCAACACATTAAACAACTATAAATATTTCATAACTGAATTTAATATCGGAAAACTAAAGCTGTACAATACATGACGCTTGGGATCATGTACTCATAAATCATGCAAAATACGTCAAACAAATTCATTAATGTCAATATTTCTATTTTGAGTAAATGAAATTCTGATTATTAACCCAATAATTATGCTGGTAGTAAATTGCTAAAGTGCTTTAAAAGGATTTCAATTGTTTAGAGAATATGGCTGGTAGAGAGACGCGAGTAATTTGCTTTCTGGTGTGATTTAAAAAAATAAATGTTACTTTGCCAGTTTATCAATATTAATTGCGGTTAGAGTTACCATCGAATTCATACAACTGATTCTTCGATTATAACACTTATTATTAACGCATAAAGCCGGATTTAATCATAACACTGTCTCATATCAGGTGATGTATGATCTTTTTTTTTTACTTTTTTTTTAAGATTCACTATTTATTAATAGATATTCAAGATTCACTATTTATTAATAGATATTCAAGATTCACTATTTATTAATAGACCTTCAACAAACTATAAATTTATGAAAGGTTTGTAAATCTAAGTATCTTTCAAAATTAATAATTGATCCTTTGACTTCGTTATTCAATATTTGATTGAATGTTTAAATGTTTTTAACAGTAATATAGTACAGTGCAGTATTTTATTAGTACAGTATATATAGATTAGTAAAGCACAGTACAGTAAAGTGCAATACAGTATGATCATCCGTATTTGACAATCTCTAATTTCCCTCTCTGACCTGTTTTTGTTTTCTTTTTACTTTTCTTTATTTGTGTTGCTTTCCTTTCTACTACCTTTTTTCTGTTTCAACCATTTATTCATGTTCTTTATATTTTCTGTTTTTTCTGGAAAGCGCATAGAGATGAATGTCACATGCGCTGTAC